CAATAATCGGCCAACGAGGCAGTAACACAAAACAAAATGATTTCGGTTTCAGTACACAAACCCCCAAGCAGTCATTAAAGCGTTTAAAGATATCAAAGTTAAGTCGACTGAAGATCTCTGGGGAATGTCGGTTAGGGTGTGTAGGGCTTTTATAGAGACTATAGCGCCTCATTTAGCTTTCATTTTTAATAAAAGCATAGATCAAGGGGTTTTTCCGGATTTGATGAAGCACAGTAAAGTAGTTCCATTGTTTAAATCCGGTGATAGCGCGGAACCTAATAACTATAGGCCGGTTTCTATTTTGCCAGTGCTTAGTAAAGTGTTTGAGAGACTGATGCTTGTTCAGATGCTGCGCCACTTTAACACGAATTCTATCTTTCATGATCAACAATACGGGTTCACCAGGGGACGCTGCACTACTGACGCAGGAGTAGCTTTGATAAAACGTGTTGTTGCCTCATGGGAAGAAGCACAGGATGCAATTGGAATATTCTGTGATCTTTCGAAGGCATTTGACTGTGTTGAGCACGAAACGCTTTTGCTGAAGCTGGAACACTACGGCATTAGAGGGGTATCGCTAAATCTATTAAAGTCATACCTTCGGGATAGGCAACTTAAGGTGCAAGTAAATAAGGTAAACTCACAGGGTGCTAGCATATCTATGGGTGTACCGCAGGGCTCAATACTAGGCCCTTTCCTATTTTTGGCTTATATAAATGACTTGCCGCATTTATTCCGGAATGAACCACAGATGGTATTATTTGCTGATGACACATCACTGGTTTTTAAAATAAATAGACGTACAAATAATTACGACGATGTAAATAGTGCTCTGATGAAGGTTCAAAACTGGTTTACAATAAATAATTTAGTGCTGAATGATAAAAAGACAAAATGCATTAGATTTGTTTTGCCAAACGTTAAAAATAACGAATGTGACATATTACTGAATAGTGAGAAATTGGAATTTGTAAAAGAGACTATTTTCCTGGGAATTACTGTAGACGACAAATTACAATGGGGTCCTCATATTACATCTCTAGCGGGACGATTAAGCTCTGCAGCTTATGCTGTCTGGAAAATCCGTCAGTTAACCGATATAGACACGGCAAGACTGGTGTACTTTAGTTACTTCCATAGCATCATGTCGTATGGCATTCTGCTGTGGGGACACGCTGCTGACATTGAGTCTATCTTTGTCTTGCAGAAGCGCGCCGTCAGAGCTATATACAACCTAGGTCGTCGCGAATCTCTCAGAGAAAGGTTTAGGGAGATCAATATTATGACCGTTCCATGTCAATTTATTTATGAAAATATTATGTATGTTAGGAAAAACCTACATTTATTTAGTAAAGTGTCTGACAGACACAATTATGAAACTAGACATAAGAATAGATTAAGTCCGCCGTTTTTTAGATTGTCAAAAGTACATAAGTCGTTCATGGGAATAGGTGTTAAATGTTATAACAAAATCCCCCAAGAAATACTGCATCTAAATGAAAGAAAATTTAAACTATGTATTAAAAAAACGTTATGTACACAAGCATACTACAAACTAAATGATTATATAGAGGATAAAAGTGCTTGGAGGCAGGCTGGTCCGGCTCCGCAGGATAATACATGAAACACAGTGATGTTCAATGAATTCTATTTGTGTAATAATATAATCATGTTGCTTAAATATTTGTATAGTTTAAAACGTTGCACAATTTATTGTAAATGTGAGAGCCCTGTAATTAACTAAATCAAATTAGACTAGTAGATTGCATTTATGTCAGCTTGGAGTTGTCATGCTCACTCAAAGATCTCGTTGGCGGTGGCACGTGCATTGGATCGCTCGATTCCCTACAAAATGGTTGAGTTGGGCGGTGCTAGGTTTCGCCAAATGTTCGTGAACGGGCACCGTCGATTGGAACTGGTCAGCTCCAGACTGTATCATTTTATTTTATTATCCTCAAGGTTATTTTCTTTTTCAGTCTTTCTGACTGGATTTGGGTGTTGCATTGTTCTCACATAATCGAACCAATAAAACTATGTAACTAGAGAATTGTATTGTAAACCTGATTGAAAAAGACGTATGGAGTTTCTTGCTCGTTCTTCTCCATAGGAATCTACGCCTTGGAATGAGCAACTAGCTTCACTTATAAATTTTTGTTGTTTGACGTTCAAAAGTGCCATCCTGGTCTAATTGAAATAAATGATTTTGACTTTGACTTTGACTTTGATCTTAACACCAATAAACATAAAGCACATTTCACATAACCGACTTCAATATTGAGAACCTGTTTCAATTACTTACTTGAAAATATTTTTAAGCTTCTCCACCATGTCGTCAGGGTACATGGGTGCCAGGGTGGGGTCTAGGAAGGCGTTAGCATACGCCAGTGGACCCGCGTTCACTTGTACGCACACGCTGCCTTGTAATCTGTTGAAAATGATATAATGATTAATTTTTATACAGATCTCTAAACGTTAGTAAGTCAAAGTCGACAGTGGCGCCATGACGGAATTGGGATGATGCCAGGGTATGAAAATTAAAAATCTAATTAGTCCGTAAGTTAGGTACTGAAAAAGTATTAGACACGTATTTTTTTATATAATAAAACAATACTTAGATAAAACGAATCAAAGTTTAGGAGTGGGGGCGTGACGTCACGCGACATTTGAAATCAATATATTGTCGAAGGAAAATAAGAAATACGTGTAATAATTTAAAATAATCTACCAGACGGACATTGAAATAAAAATTAGGCATCTACCCTATTATTCTTAGTGAGTGATAGGGACACGAAAAAATTTCGTTGGTGTATCCCGTAGCCAATACACATAATCAAATGACAGATAACTGCACTGTATTAATACAGGTGGCCTACGTAAGTTCAGGCTTTGGTTCAAGGTGCCAGGATGAATGTTAGGGGGATTGGGGGTTTGGGGGAGTAATAATACCAATCCCCACAGTTGTGTTGATTTACAAACACAATGCTTATAAAACATTAGTAGGTACTTAATCATTCGCTAGCTCCATAAATTATCTATCAAACCAAATTGACGTGATATCTTGGTTAATATATTTTTACGCTCACCTTAGTTGCAATTTCTTAATATCAGGCGCCTTTGCATTAACGATCTCCTGCAGCTCAGTGACTTGTCCCTCCATTTCGGAGACAGCGACCTCTATCGGACTCTTCTCTTCAACTTGCGTGTCGATGACGGGCACGCGACGTTTGACGTACGGAAACCATGAATCCGCTGTAATTATAAAATGATGACGTTACGATTATGTCAGTAATTTTAGTTTTTTCAAATAAATAGTTCGTTGTCTATTATGTACGAGTGGTGCATGTATTGTGGGCATTTTTGCATATTTCTTCGAGAGTTGAAAGACGTAATTGTATAAATTGCTATAATTTCAGATAGAGTGCAAGTGTATGTAAGACAGAGATAGTAAGATCGAATTTGATTGTAAGGGATAGAAATAGTTATATAAGGTAACTCTCAAACCCGTCATTAAAATAAATGTAATGTATTATAGCTATAAAATAAAATAATGCGATTGCGAGTATATCTTAAATATAAGCATAATAATTGAATATTCATTGCACAAATATATAATAAGGTAAACAAAGAAATATATATATATACACTAAACAACTACACGAATGTAAGAAATTGCTAATCGAATGGATAAAGAATCTAACATACGAAAGTACGGAAGCCCACACGTAAAATAACCATCCCTCACACACCCTCGCAGATACACCACGACACACACGCCACACACACAGATACGCGCACCTCACACACACATACACCCCACACACGCATACACCCCACACACACATACACCCCTTACACATAAACCTATTTATGTAAGTCAATAAACTGGTAATTGTAAAAACCAAAAACTTCTCAAATATTGTTATGTTATCGAAGAGCGGAGTCTTCTAATACAGGCAACCTAAAAGGAGGCTCCAATCACAATCTATTGTTAAAAAAAATATTTGGTTCAGAAATAAAATATTTTTGTATTTTTTTTTAATATTAACTAATATTATGCAACGACTAACGACATTGTAAGCGAAAATAAATGTTTTGATTTGAAGAATTACTTTCATTATAATTCTAGAGAGTTATGTCTAGTAATGATTTACTTAAGTAATTGTTTAAGAACAAAAACCAATACGATTTGTTTTTGATTAAGAAACAAGAATCTAATTTTGCTCAGTCTACATAGTATAAAGAGGTTAAAATGACATAACCGGTAAAAATTAATTAGCAGTTCTTTCATTTCTGCCTTCACGGAACTTTATCCTTTACGTAATAATGGCTATTTTCCCAATAACAACTTACTAGTTAAATGCGTGAGTCTGATCCTCTGATGATGTACTGGGCCCCTGGCGGCTCCGTCTCTTGTGAAAGGAGTCTCGAACACGAAGCGCCGTACATTATGCGCTCGTTCGAAGGAACCTTCTCCTCCGCCGGAGACTACTACACCTTCTGGTGCAGCTCGTACCCAGGTCACTTGGATATATGCTAGTTTGCTGTCTAGGTCGTCACGGTTCACCTGGTAAGTAATTATTATCATTTTTATTTTATGGTATAAGGCGGTAAACGAGCACACAGATCACCTGATGGTAAGCAATCGGCGTGGAACATGGACACCCGGACCACCAGAGGTGTTACAAGTGCGTTACCGGCCTTTTGCGGATTGTTGAACATTCAGGGATTGGAGAGATTGGGGGGGGGGGGGATAATCGGTTTTCTGTGAGGCGGGATCACTCCGGTCAAGGCGGCCTTATTGTTTAGTGATCGACTATTATTAAGATGCATGTATTAATTTCACCAGGTGCTGAATAATTTTCTTAATGTATATACCTGGCAGGCGATATCGTAATTAGGTCACCGAAGATACGTATAACTTATTGAAGAAGGTGTCTATAACTTTAAAAAATATTATTCCTACATAACATAACATAACCACACGTCTCTTATCCACGAAAGAGTAGGCAGAGGTACACATTATGCCACTGTATAATGTAACACCCACTTTTCACAATTTATGTTATGAGTCCCATGTATTAGGGGTTGAGCCTATTGCCATATACCGGGTACAACTCCAGACTCCGTGCTACTACTGAGAATTTTTTAAAAACCCAGTAATATACCATTTTGTTCTAAAAAGAATAATATATTATATTAAATTGTTTTATTAACTAGTAATTTGTTTTAAAAAGAATAATATAATATATTATTCTTTATTGGTATCTTTTAAAAGTAACTAAATTGCCTTTTATATGTCATATGGTTTGATAACTGGGTACCTGGTTACCTACTTCCCAAGGTTATTGATACAAAACTAAATTATTTACGTACACTCAATTGCAGAAATGACTAATTCTTCTCCAAATTACCATTACTTTATCAAAGTACAGTGAGCAACCTGGCATGGTTTAATTTAGCTGTTAAGATAAATTAACACAAAGTCATTAAATGTTCACAATGAAGGATAATAAGTCGTAAATCTACGGTCACAAGTTTTTGTATAGAATTCAAATGACATAAATAACATCATGCCTTTTATCCCCGAAGGGGTAGGCAGAGGAACATACTAAGGCACCTAATGTCACTGTACAATGTACATTGTACAACACCCACTTTTCACTATTTTATGTTATGAGTCCCATATAGGTAATAGGTGTGATTCAAATGACTGAATGAATTCAAGAATTCATATGACTTTATTTATAAACCTCTAGCTAACTAACTATTAAATAGTTCAAATTGCAGATGTAATTCATTGTTCGCGTTCTTAACAATGCAGTGTAAATTATAGATACAATATGGAAACCGTATATGTATTCTGGTATAAAAACTTATGAGCTGTACACGAGACTTCGTCCGCGTGGAAAAGGCAGCCTATTTTACTACGTAGTACATTCAATTCATTCGCAAAGTCCCGTCAAAATAGGTCTAGCCATATCTTGCTGTTTTGTTTTGAGGGGGAAAATCATCAAATGACTTCTCCTGCCTTAGGTTAGGCGAGAGGGAGTGTCAGACTCTTAATGACTAAAAACCACCCCGTTCCTACTCCTGCACTTGGACCCAGACCCCGGTATCCCGTTAAGAAATCAAATTAGACCCTAAACTGATGAATTTCGGGTTTAATTTTTATCCAAAATATGAAACTATAATGTCGTTTAAATGACGAAGATCGATTGATAAAGTCTCTTAGGACAATTACAGAAACAATTACTTTTGTATTAGTTTATCTCAAAACAATTTTTTAAGATAAAGTGGAAAAGAATCACTTATAATATTTCATCAAATCACTATTCTTTTATAAACTACTGTTAAAAAACCGACTTAAACCTCTTTTTTGAAGTCGATTGATTAATATACTGGCTACTGTTTGCTACTCTTAAGTGTAGCAAACATTTTTCTGAAAATCGTATTGAAATCAGTTAAGTTAAATGCGAGATAATAGTGCACAAACATACATTACATACACACAGATCAAATTGAGACCCTTCTTCTTTTTTTGAAGTCAGTTAAAAAAAATAAAACAGTGATGACTAACCGGCGCCGAATCCATGATCATCTTGACGTTTCCAGCTCCATACTTTTGTTCGTAAAACTGTTGCAATTTCTCCGATATTTCACTCAGAGATGTTAGCTTAGGTTCTTTATAGATGAATTCTATGCCTTCCTCGTCTTCACCGAAATGCGCTTTACCGAAGAATGCGACTCTATAGAATCTACCTAGTAGACGCTTTCCAGAGTTAGTGACTTCTATTACTTTGGCGTATGCTTTGGTTAGGTGTTGGTAGCAGGCTAGTAATGCTTGGTAGTCCTTTCTTCGCTCGTACAGAGGGATTATGAGCCTATATAGTGGGCCTAAGAGTTCATATCTCTCTGCTTTGTCGACGGCTTCTGTGCAGACCATGAGTTGGTCGAGGAAGGCCTGCTCGTTGTAGTGCACGTCTGTCATACCTGGAAGGAAAGTAAGTTGTGGTTAATAAAGTGCAGTGAGGGACGTGGAACATTTACGTATCTACTCTGCATAGATATAAGAATGCTTGTAATTGTAAGATTTTGTAGAAATAAATTATGTGTCAATGTTCATTAGTGATTATTCTATGTGTTTTATAATACCTATCGTGAGATATGTCTCACGTGAGTGACACGTCATTTTTAGTTAATTATTCTATGTAATCAAAACGTCATAATTCCACTTAAATTTTTCACCTCGTTTTGTGAAACTTATGTCCAGAACTTTACTATTAAGAACAATTACAATATAAGTTTGAGAAACGATGTATTGCACAGCTATTTTGTCTAATAAAGCTAATAAACATTATATAAATGTGACGTATTTCATAATTCGACATATCTCTTTCTCCTGACCTTTTCTCAAATTAATTGGCAATAAGTTTTTAACTGGATTTCGTTGATATAACAGCTATATTTATAACTAGCTACTGTCGCGCGTTTTATCCCGCTCTACCCAGCTCCTATTGATTGTAGCGTGATGTTTTATAACCTATAAATGGCCTAATGGGTAATAATAATGCGCGTGAGGCACCGAAGCGCTACCTCTTAATAAACCATCCGTCGCGAAGGACACTCCGGGCGTCGGGGAACGCGGGACTATCTCCGGCCACCGTAAGCGGACCTACGGACGGCGAGCATGGGTGGCTCGCCGCCCGACCAGAACTAGACCCGAGCGTATACCGACACAAGAATGAAAATACCAATGTGAATGTGGTGGACGAATATTATTACACAGTAATATGAAATTACCCACGCATGCACACTGTGTAAATGACAGTAGTGTCGATGTGTAGCGCTGCAAACTAATTAGCGGTGTTTTGTGTACTTTCCAAGATTTTTTAGACACCTCTGACAAACGGTGAAGGAAACATCGTGAGAAACCTGGACTTATAATTTGACATTATAAGTTTTAAATTGCCAACCCGCATTGAGCAAGCGTGGTGATTAATGCTCAAACCTTTTCCATGTGAGAAAAAGCCTTTGGTCAGCAGCTTAGCAGATTTATAGTGTATTAACCAAACGAGGTTACTCGATTAGTTTCAAGCCATGTCGGAGCCCAAAACAATTGATAAACGGTTAGCATTAATAATAAAACTATTAGGTTCGCGCCTAGTTACATAGTAACGAAACAACGTCATAAATTAAGGTCAAAATAGTAAAATGAAAAACATTTTCGAAGCGAAACTAAATAACAAGAATGTTTTATTAAGATTAAATTTGTCATGGTCTCAATTGGAATTGGACATAACAAATGGAAACAATGCCTATTAGTTATACAATACTATATGTAAGTTAGTATGAAAGTAATTTGGACTATCTATTTGTCAGATTTTTTTATTGATTAAACCGGTAATCGAGTAGACGGATCATCTGATGGTTAGCAATCGGCGTCGCCCATGGACACCCGAAACATGAGAGGTGTTAATAATGCGTTACGTTTCGGAGATTAAGAATTCGAGGATTGATCGGGATTCGGGGGTTGGGTAGATTGAGGAGGGGGTACTTGGGCGTCCGGTAACCTCACTGACACGATGAAACACAAGATAAGTGTTGTTTCACGTCGGTTTTCTGTGAGGTCGTGGTATCACTCCGGTCGAACCGGCCCATTTCTGCCGAAGCATGGCTCTCCCACACTATTTTTTTAAATATGGTTTAGCCAACACTGATATTTTCTCCTGTATCATTTACAGTTTCACATACACATGACATCCAGACATAGAACGACGATATGTTTATTACAGACACAGAGTTATTCCCTGCGTTAAAAATGAATCCCAACTTCCCTTGGCCATGATGCCCTAGTACACGTGAACGACTTGACTGATTTCATTAATTTTCTTGTTAGTAATAAGCTCTTAATAAAGAAACAAATCTATAATTTAAAATGCTTTCTAAGTAGCCACACTCACACCAACTAACCTACGGGGATTTATAATAGAGACCAACCACAAAAACATCAAAATAAGGAAGTATCTACGGTAGTCCCAGTGACGATGTATTATGAACAACCAACTGATTGGATCTAATGGGTTTTTTTCAGAGTCCTTTTTACAAAAAAAAAAACAATCAATTTGAGTTTCACAATAAGTTTTTTTTTATTCTGACAGGTTGGTATGGATTCTGTGTGCATACACCATAAAAATCTAACCATCAAGGAGGAGCTGAGAGGTCCACACTCCATGGTTTTTCTTCTTTTGAAAAAAAAAATAACATACGATTTTTTTGATCATTCATTTCAGCCTATCAATACAGACGGAAATGTGACTGTTATGTCAAAATCTGTGCCTTTACCGAATAATAAAATAACAATAACAACCAAAAATATTTTGCTCGACCCGGGGAATCGAACCCGTGAAGTAGGTCAGGCATCGTACGATGGCTGGGCCGAACTAATTATAACTTTAAAATAGATTTATGTCAATTTTAGTTATCAGGTGAATGACCTTTATTTTCTTGTTTATACGTATAAACAATCTATGTAGATTGAGTGTAAATAAAAAAAAATATTATTCTTCTATCACTATGGCAATTTAATTTCTCAGTACCATAACAAGTTTTTGTGATCACTCTGATGTACCTAACTATGCTACTATAGATGTAGAAACACGAAATTATTAAATACCTAGTATAACAAGTATTATCACTAGAGCCAAAGAAAAATACACAAGAATAAGGTTTAAAATTAAACAAAATTTGAATGCTTCCTAATGTAATATCTCTGTCTATTTACAGAAGATTATAATACAAAGGGAACTAGCATCTATTAAGGGACCTTGGAAGTGAATAGCTTTCAGGAAATTATATCTTTCATTTTTAATAGAAAAATACGCACTGATCCTCTATTGTTACCTACCCACTACTATCGTATGTATACATCTTGATAACGGTCCTCGAACACGGTGTACAAACTAACATTGAAAACTACATGAAAACATTTTATGAATGAAAAGCATAACCTTGATGCGCCCTACAGGTACCGGTATCGCATTATAGATATCATGCATTAGCGTCCTTATATCTAATATCATCCATTACAGCCACGTGCATATTTAATTCAAAATTGAAAAACCGGACAATAAACTTGCACACAATCGTGCAATTTTCGTTGTTAAACGGATTACGTTGTTAGGAGATTCGCAGAGCTATTGAAGCGATGCTGTCCGGCGACCCTCTTGGAATACAATTCTATGTATCTGTATATAAATGGAGCAGAGACTCCGAGTGTTGCAGTCGAAAACGGTTCGCGTACGCGCGTACGTACCGCCTGATAAGACACCGCTCCGTCGGTTCGGCGGGAAATTGGCATTTAAATATGGAGTTGGTGTTAACGTTGGTGGTCGCGTTAGTGGCAGCAGTGTGCGGGAACGAACCTCAAGGTGCCGAAGTAGACAAAGCACTGCCGGACACTAAAACTATCGCAGCATTTGTGGTACGTCTGATGATTCGCTATTCAGCCAGTCACGACAGGCCGGCGTGCCAACTTCCTACATGAATCGCAGATCATTCATTTAATGACGAACTGTCGACAATCATGTTATCAAACGAGTGCCGGTACTTCACCACTTACATTGACATGATGCCGAAAATTTCTCCAAGTATTTTTAATACTTGAGCGAGTGACGAAACCGATAATATGTAAATAAACATTGTTTTTTGGGTTGTGAGCTACATAAATTACTTAACGTGTTTATTATTTCTAAGGTATTCGCTTGATTACATTGTAGTACTTTAGGATTGTAACTAATTGTCAACAGATCTTTCGTCATGGTGACCGCACCCCCGACCATGAGGAGTTAGCGTTGTATCCAGCAGATAACGTACTAAGCGACAGCATTTTCTTCCCGTACGGGAAGAAAGCACTGACAAATGTAAGTGTACTTATGTCCTTTTACATCAGATTCATCGATTAAGATTCGTAAGAACTGTGTGGAATAGAGTCACAATAGCTACACAAATCAAAATATCATGACGTAGAAATGTGTAATATCGTTAGTATAAGTAAAGTATTTTTCAAACAATAGAGTTATTAGCCAATATTTTCAAAAGCGAAAAAATAACATTCAAATACAGTCATTTTCCGTATACATACCAAGGCCACCAAAAGCACCAAAAGTTGCACCTAGAAACCAGAGCATTTATCAGAAACTAACATTGAATAATGAAATGATATGGTTTCTGATGAAATTTGGTAATAGGTAATGGAAAGCATGATTAGGTGATACACCTAGTTGTCTTATCCACTCTAATAAAATGTGTAAGAAGAAAAACTGATGCTCTAATTATACATTTTGTAAATCTATTTGACTTCATGTCAACTCCGGCCTAGTTGGTAAAAATCTAAGGGAAAAAGAAGCCTCAAATAAATATAAACTTAGTAACTGCATAATTAAATTAGTTTTCCAATTTCACAAAAAGAGTTTAAGAGAATAGTTAACCTCTATGTATAACTCGTTATTAGAAAATTTTACTAAGCAAACGTAGGAAGATAATAAAGAAGTAATGCATGCAGGCTTTGAATACGGTATATCAAAAGCTAAAATATGGTATAAAACATTATACAATGTTATCGGTATGACATGAACATTATAAACACGGGTAATCTATTAGCTACGGTCTTGGATTTGACAAAATAATATTGAATTGTAGGCGACTAAGCACCAACTCTACGTTCAAATACAATGTTCTTTATCAAACAAGTTTGTATTCCTGTACCAAAATCTTAGTAAAAATAAACCGTCGAACAAAGTCACCTAAAGGACATTGACTCCAATTTTTTGTCTTCAAATGAGGATACATCTGAAGAAAAATAACTTAGATCTTAAGAGGCATGAAATAAGCACGAAACAATTTTTTAAGTAGGTATCGTATGCACAAAGCGACATCAAGTGTGACATCGAGATAGAATTAGACATTATCTAACTAGCGGTATCAGTTATAAAAATACGCATTTTGCCACGTGTACTGTCAATATTTTGATTTATCTAAGGAACTATCTCCTAGCCTATCCTAGCCTATCTATTAGGTTTAAAAAACTAGAGAACACCAATATTATAGATACATGGCGTTATAATAACGTTTATTGACCTGAAAAATTACTGGAAGTAAATTCATAGACAATCTTGTTGAGTCGGACTGACCTAAACTCCTTTAAAAACGAAAGAGGTTAGACATGTTAGGGATTTAACGATTAGTTTATGGTTTACTAGACAGTTCCTTAGCAAAATCTTCAATACTCGATATTGTACCATATTTTTAAAATGAACATACTCAACAGAAAGGCAAACAACGCAGTTTCTTCGTGGGCAAGTATTTGAGACAGAGGTACGATAGTCTCATCTCCAAGTTGTATCTTCCTGATGAGATCACCATACGTACGACTGACTATGCCAGGACCAAGATGACGGCTTTGACTGCCTTAGCAGCCTTATACCCGCCACCACCAGCCCAGAGATGGAACCCTGACCTGGACTGGCAACCCATTCCATACAATACACCGCCTTATGAAGATGACGATGTGAGTATAAATAAACCAATCCAGACTAATATGTGAAAAAATTAGTTTGTGTGTTGTTTTTGTCATCTTTGCGATTCATTTACTCAACCAATTTTTAACTTTAAATACAAATTAGTGGGGTGTACGCTGAAGAAATTATAGGCTACCTTTCATGCGAAATTCAAACGGGTAAAGCCGGAAGTAAACGCTAGTTGACTATACAGGCGCTGCCTGTAGCTGAACGACTGATTTATACTGCACAATGTGTTGCAGGCTTGATGTCGGCTGAATAACTATTTGTGTGATCCACTATATTGTTCCGGGATAGGGCGTGGATGTGAAATGTGTATGTTAAAAGACATTATAATTGGATGAACTTGGATGAACTTTAAAACTAAGAATAATATATTCTGATGATATTATGCTAATTAAATATGAAATTAAATATTCAATACATTTTGTATGTAAGTAATTAATAAGCTATTAGATATTCAGCCAGTGATAGCATGATCAGACAACCGGTTGCTTAATGTATGAACATATTGAACATATCTCTCTATGCCTTATTTTGGTTGAAGGCAAAAATTATGTAATCAAGTATTCTAAATATAAAATAAAAAATTATGGACACTCATTTATATGAGTTTGTTTAATTTATTTTTAACTCGTCGAGTACCGGTTTTGTAGACACAATTATAGAACAATAGGTTGCGGTCACCGGTGACCGCTTGGTGTTTGACAGTTTAATAGTTATTTTATTGTTTAAAATTTATTGTTTAAAAATCTTTTTTTTTCGCGCCTATTTTCTATTTTTGTCCAGTTTTGGGTTTAGCTAAACATTTTGGGATTGTTTTTAGCAATGCAAGTTCTGAAGATAATATGTAAAAAAAGGATAAGATATGACAAATCCGATAGATTTAATTCTCTTCTTCTTTACTCTAAAATATTTTGTTTGTTTCAGCTTCTATACTGGTATAACTGCCCCCGATACTTGTGGTTGAGAGACAAGACCGCTGAACTGCCAGAGATTCAGAAATGGATCGAACCCTATCAACCTCTCTTCTCTTATTTAAGTAGTCACACAAAGACAAATATTACGAAACCAGAAGACGTATTCTTCTTAGATAATTTATTTCAAACATTGGTTAGTATACAAGAAGCATAAAAAAATAATATCGATTTACTACAAGTTTTATAGTAAATGCTAAATTAAATGTGCGTTTTCAGAAAAACGTCGGCGTGAATCCCCCCGAATGGGCCCAACAAGTAATGCCTAAAATAAAAGACGTAACTAAAATTGAATATGCCCTAGAATTTTATAACGCAGATCTAGTCAGATTGGCATCAGGTAAAAGTTTTAATCATACTAAATACGCAGATAGATAAATCATATTCCCTTAGGGACAGTATTGTAATGCAAAAACTACTACGTTTATTTTATTCCAGGTGTATTAATGCAATCGATAGTAAATATATCAAATTCTCTAATAAATGAACCCGATTTTGAGGCGAAGAAGCTGTATTTGTACTCGGGACATGAGAACAATGTCGCTGGCTTGATGGCGGCGGCCAGAGTGTTTGAGGCACATCAGCCTAACTATGGGTCGACGTTTTCTTTAGAACTTAGGAATAATACCAAGACTGGACAGTTTGGGATGACGGTAAGAATATAAACTATACTCAAATTAATTACTTATTATGTTTAATGACTCACTCACGTAACTGTTTGACAAATAAATTAACTAGTTTCAAGTCAGACTAGGGGCTCATATTCAACATTTAAATTAATATGAGAGATGTAAAACTAGAAACTAGTGTAAGATAAAAAAATTTCCTCGATATAGACCCTTTTCATTAAGCACGAATTAAATTGCTTTGTACCTATCTACCTATCTATGTAGGTTATTTAGCAAGGCCTTTGGTAGGAAAATAAAAGGTAATTTTTGTGTCAACTCTATTATCTAAAAAACAACAGAAATGTAAATGTTATTGTTCTTTAAATTGAACACGTGAATGATGAACGATGAAGACGATTTGTATCATTCAAAACGGAGTTGTTTTTAAGGAAAATATCGCGGAAAAGTATACCTTTTGTTTCACCATATTGGCTAATTATTGCTATATTGATGCATACAGTAATAACCTAAGATAATTACTAAAGTAATAAAATTATGTTAGGAACTTAATTACATCATTACAATGACACATGACACGCATAAATTATAACATAAAGCACTATTGTTTTAAGTTATTTCCTTGCGTATTTTACTGTAATTTGTTAGAATGAGGTATCACTCTAATATAAATAATGATGGATAAAAGTTTTAAGATGTGACGCTATCCATATTGTTACGGAGCCGCGGAGAACCTAACGGGTTACCGGGGCTCCGTCTCGAAGTGCAGGAGTAGGAACGGATTTTTATTCAGTAAGAGTCTGACACTTCCTTCCGCCTCACCCAGGCGGTAGAAGTCATACGATGATTTTCCCCCCTTGAAAAAAAATCCATATTTTGTTGTTTGTCTTAACGATTTGAATTCAGTGTGACTCATATTTATCTAAATGTTATACACTTAACATTGTTTCAAAGATTTAGTACTTATCAGTATCGTGAGATAACAATAAGCAAATTGACATTCAAAGTATCAAAGAGAGCGCGTGGGTGATGGATGCATTGCAAAAAATATATTTAGATTGGTATCGAGTCATCTATGAAACGAGATAAATAGGTGTGATAGTTGTCATTTACTTGACTTTTTATTATGAATTCAGCGTTCAGTGAGGCTGAAAGTGTAATGTATTTTTTGTAACGACATTGAAGTAAAAATAGTAAATTGTATAACGGTAATAACTGCAGGGCATTAACCTATCAGTTGTTTTTACATTTTGTTGAGAAAATGTCACTAGAAATAAAACTGTGCATCTTTTCTATAGAGTTTGAAGGATTATGAGATTAAAAATAGATGAAATTTTAAGTTTACAAAAGTATTATACGAATTAGGGGTAATAATTTTGTTCTTTACAGGCGGTGTACGCGCGCAATGCCGGTGGGCCCAGTGAGATCCTACCAATTGACGGCTGCGACGGCGCACTATTCTGCGGTTTCGACAAGTTCTTGACCATCGTCCAAGACGTTATATGGTCAAAACAAGAGATGGATGAACAATGTAAAAACGTAACAGATTTATAGTACAATTTTATACATAGTTGATACGAATAAAGTGGCTGTGATTTCTATATTGTTGTTTAAATTAAATCTAAATGTTATACAATAAGGCTACGCTAGAATAATAACGAATAGCCGTGGAAATAAGTATGAAATGTTATGAAGTAACAACTAGTGGTTTATATAGTTTAAGTTACACGGCCCGGATTCACTCATATGCATATAATGCTTAAAGCATAAACATATTATTAAGAGTTCTAGACCTACATATACATAGTCTATACATTTGGATTACAGAACAGTGTTATATAAATTGGTACTGAAATATCGATAATGTAATGTCTTCAACTCGATTTCTAACGATTCTGAGGATTTTGTGTGGAGAAGCCTCATAGCGTAGCAATGGTTTTCGATGTGATGATATAATTAATGTACAGTGGTCTTCATTGTATAAAAGTAGGAAAATGCATATAACATATACTTAAGCAATATCTTTTTTTTAATCTTACTTGGGGGGGGGGGGAATCATCCAATGACTTCTCACGCCCGGGTGAGGCGAGAGGGAGTGTCAGACTCTTACTGACTAAAAACCACCCAGTTCCTACTCCTGCACTTCGAGCCGGAGCCCTGGCAACCCGTTAAGTCTTCCGCGGCTATGTGTTGTTATTTCGTGGATTTTTTCAAGGGTATTAAAGCTTTGGGGGGCATAGAAATCCCCCTTGATGACTTTCCGAAGATAAGTAGTCACAGCTCGTAAAATGCGGGTGACCACTCATGATGAATTGTTATTTAGGTTCCAAATCATTGATTTACCACAATGTGCTAAGGTCATTAAGGTTCATTTTGGAAGGTCGCAAGACGGTTACCTACACGGCGACATCTAAAATATATTTCTCAAAAGGTCACTCATTTTAGGATAGTTTCCTTTTTTATGACAAATATAAGAATTATTTGAAAATTTCCTCTTCTCCAAATACGTGGTAAATTGTTTAACCACATGTATGAGTATGAATCTATTGCCAAGCACTAGACTTGCCCGTGCAAAATTCCAGATTTCGTGCTTCCGAGAATCACTAAAGTCGAAAAGCCTAATTACTAACTTTACATTTCTATTTTTTTTTTTCATTTTTAGTTATCAT